CCTACTTCAAAAAACTCCAGGCAGTTTACAAGAGAATTGAAATCGATAACAAGATGTAAAACAAAACAGAGCTCTAACCCAAAGCAACATGAATTTATTTTTTGACCGACCCAAATCCCCCCAACCTCAGAACATAACATAATAACATTCATTATGTTATGTTCTGGAGGTGTTGTGGGGGGGGGGACATTTGAACAAAATCATTTATCATTTTAGAGAACTGTAATACTGAAAATGTTAGAGAATTTTCCTCCTAGCTAGGGAGAACGCAAATACCTTTGTTCACGGAAAACAAGAAATGTTATCTGCTTAGTCCTGTGGAAAAAAGAACACCAGGATGCAATCTAAACTACTGCTATAAATCTTTCTCCTAAATTGCAATAACTATTATAGCTATTATTTTACAAAATGGCAAGAGGGTAACACAATTGCTATGACAAAATTAAAAGTGAAACCAAAAACTTTTTGAGGAACTATTCCCATACTACCTGAAGGATCAGTTTAGGGACTTGTGGGAGAAAAAATCTGTGTTATGGTTATTAACAGTTGACAGTTACTTGACAGCACATAAATCAATCAAAAAAATCCTAGGAAAAATAGAAGATGCTGTTTGAAACGTACAAGCAAAAATAGGCAGAGGCTATGCTAAGACCTTGGAATGGCTGTTATATCCATCACCTGCTAGACCAGCAAGGAGAGAGAATGAAACCATAACCCAGAAATATCCAAATTAAATATTAAAATGATGGACAGATTTGTAGCCTCACCATTGATCCTGCTCTTACCACCCTGTCTTTTTTGTAAGATAAGTCATTAAACATTTTCTCTGCTTCCCAGGCAGGCAAAGCTGGCCTTGCTTGAAGAGAAGCTGAAATTATTTAAATTAAAAGCAAAGTTAATGGGGCAGATGAAGCCTTCTCCCAAAGAACCACACAACAATATAATACATTTTAGTCCATTTCCGGAAGACAAATAAAAGGATTAACCTACAGAAAAGAAATGTTGATAGCTGGTATGTGTCAACATTTGAATTAAACCCCACCCCCACCCTCCAAAAAAAGGGCTAAAGGAGACTCTTAAGCAATACTATCTCTTTTAGTTGTTCTATGTCTAAGAATTTTTCTGGGGTACATTATAGATATATAATTATGTGTTATATTTTCTTGTACTAAGAATTTACATTTCTGTGTCTTTCTGTGAAAGATTTCCTTATTTTTATTTTTCAGCTACTGAGTATATTCCCTTGCCTGGCACATGCTGTTGCTCCTTGGTGTATCCTGACTGTTGTGCATTCTACTCATGGGTTCCCCCATCTGTGCTAGTGTTTCACATAATTCATTTAAAAATGTACAAGCTGCCCTGTTGGATGAGTCTAAAGGTCTCCCCAATCTAACACTCTTCTAGCCAATGATAGCCAGATGCTCCCAGGGAACTCACAATCGGCATATAATGAAGATGACTTTTCCTTCTTTTGTTTCCAGCATTTGAAAAATAGTTGCACTGCCTTTGCAGAGAGTTTTTACTCTAAGCTGCCAGGATTCCTCATAGACATCTATAGTAAGGGGTTGTGACAGTTGCAATATGTAATGTGTTGTTCTGCATTAAGTAAGGGATAAGCTTGCATACATTGGTCCTCAAGTAGACAATGGTGATGGCATCTTCCCATAGGACTGGACTGACAAAGGAGCCCCAGAACAGCTGAGGCACTGGGCAAGCTTAGTGGTGCAAGACACACATATGGCATGCATATGGTCCTCTTCAGGATCAGTTTGCATGAATGCTACAATGCAGTATTTCATATTGTTGTGTCCCCCCCCCCCCCAGCTTCTTGATAATTGTCACAAGTAAGGCTGTAAAGGAAACAGTTTGATATGCATGGTCTTATTTATATAATCTAAGTCTACTACTGAGATTCATTGGGTTTCTTTGGGAGGTCTTTAAAGCTATTGCTCATTTGTGGTATATATTTCATTAATTTTCTGCTTCTACATACATAATATCTCTTGTCAATGCAGAGAACGGTCCATAAACATATTTTAGGAATGAAAAACTGCCCTGTTTTTATAGGCAACTTGATCTTGAGGCCAAACAAAGAGCTATAGAGGAGACATTACAGTCTCCAAATCCAGAAGCAAGCTATAATTCTTTATAAGAAATACATTTCTTCTGGGACAAATAGAATATGGGCAAACCAGTTTTGTAAAACACAATAATTGGTATTTGGAGGACTCCAGCTATCACCAGATAATGTATGCTCTGGCCAATCATCTGAAGAGGAGAGTATATTGTGGGCCAAGGGAGCAGGAGAAATTCTCCTCCTCTTCTACAACTCAAACCAAGCTTCCAAGCTTCATCATTTGATCTGCAATTGTCGCTCAGTCTCAGATATGGTCAGTTATGTCCAAATATTGACCTACAAAATCCAAAATATTTTGATTCAAGTATCAATAAATAACCCTAAGGTGAAGTACGGTCCTAAGTCCTGATTTGACAGAGAATGACAAGGCTAGGATGAAATTTATCAATTTCTAAAGGCATATAAAAACAACTTGAACCATCTTTGAGATATTATACTGTCAAGCCAACGCAATTTACATAACATTAAAAAGGATGAGAGAGATTGATGAACAAACTATGCCCTTCATTTGAAATACAATGTTAGTTTCTCCAGGTTCTGGGGTGTTTACATTCTCCCTATGGCTGTCTGCCTCCGTAGTCCATTTCTGTACCATGTGGTAAGCCTGCCTCAGGCCAGGAGGTCACTATGCCACCTGCCAGCCTGAGCTGACATGCAGCCTTGCACAAACACATATGGAAGAAATTATGGAGATGTTGGGGCTGGGAATTGAAGCAGGAGCCCCTCAGGACCACTGCATCAATCCTTCCAGCTGAGCAGAAGATTCCAATGAGTTGTTTGCTGCAACAGCAATTCAATGTGCAGTACAAACAAGGTTTGGTGATTCATTGCTTCCTCTTAGCTAATAGGTAATTGCTTTATGGGGATGAGAATTGGAGAAAAGGTCAGGGATTTGGGTCCACGAAAGAATTGCCTTCACAACTGCTTTAATGGAGACTTCAGCAGTTTTCAAGAAGTCTTTTGCCCTCCTTAATTCAGTAGGTGTGGCTTCAGAAAGTTTATGAAGAAAGAGGCCCAGTAGTGTAAATGATATTTAATTTCTTCTGATTGTATGCAGCCTTGGACTGCAGACAGGAACGGTTATGCCATTGCAAATTTCTCTGACATCTAGGCAGGGTAGAATTTTTCAATAGAATATATTAATTCAGAGTTCTCAACCTAAGCACTTAAATATGCAGTAAACACTTCTTTAGCTGAAACTAGCCGTCTTTCAGCTATTGCCCTCCAGATGTGTTAGATAATAATTTCCATCATTTATGGCTGGAAACAATGTGAGTTGCATCCAATCCATCTGGATGGCACCAGGTTGGAGAACACTAATTTCTTCACTAGTGAGAAAGAATCCAAAAAATTAATGGCATTGGCAATAAACTGCAGTGCTTATTCCATGTTCTGAGATGAATTCAAGCCTTTCCATTTAGTAGTGGACTATGCCAAGGCCATGCTCAAATTTGATTAGGTTTTTGCACTCTGAACAATAATTAACATTTATTTTTCATTCCTCAAAATGTTTGTGTGTGTCCAATTTGGGCCATTCTAAAATGTTTTACAGCTGTGCTATTGGATGATCTTTTCCATATATGTATATAATGTTTGAAAATCTACATTTAAGTATGCAGTTTAATGGAAAAGGCTCCATGCAATCATTGTCACTCTTGGGGTTCAAACATCAGACCAGCACTTTTGAATGGACCTCTAGAAAAAAAGTTGGATCTCCTAGAAAAAAATTGGCCCATTAGAAAAACAATTGACAGAATGGCATGATATCATTCAAAAGGAATCTGAGCTGACTTGGAACAATGTGAGTAGCAAAAGTCAACAGCCCAACCATTTCACTATCTGTTGCAAAAGATGTGACACCCACGTATGTATTAATTTACTGGTGTGATATCTAATTCATGTAGTAGATTAGTTATTCATTTCAATCATATCTAGCACAGAAGTTCTCCCAATTAAATGAGACACCTGCAATTGCGGCAGAATTCTAATCAGCAAGTCACATCCATCCAAAACTGACACTCCAATTATCCTTTGAACTTCACAGCTGGAATAATGAGAAACTAAAAAGAAATTAAAACTGACACATTTGTCCATTCTTAATAGGCCTGCCTTTTGGTATTAACCCCTTTATCCCAAGAATCAATTGCTTCCACACCTTGCATTGAGCCATTGTTTGTTGAATAAATCATCATTAATTGGGCCATAACCATAAACCAGGAATGGGTAATTTAAAGTCTTGTATTTCTAGTCTTCTATATACTGTGCTTTTAAAAAAAAAATGTAAAGCTTCATTTATTCTGGAGTTGAGCAGCCTTGATGTTTGAAAAATAAATAAATAAAACCTTTGTGTGGCCCTCAGAACCACTTCTGATCAAAGCTGTCCAAAATGAGTGTCATGGTATCTTATCATTTTGAACGCAATAACAAAAACAACAGTTGTTGTTGTTAGTTGCGAAGTTGTGTCTGACCCATTGCGACCCCATGGACAACGTTCTTCCAGGCCTTCCTGTCCTCTTCCATCCTCTGGAGTCCATTTAAGGTCACTCCTACTGCTTCAGTGACTCCATCCAGCCACCTCATTCTCTGTCATCCCCTTCTTCTTTTGCCCTCAATCTTTCCCAGCATTAGGCTCTTCTCCAGTGAGTCCTTCCTTCTCATTAGGTGGCCAAAATATTTCAGTTTCATCTTCAGGACCTGGCCTTCTAAAGAGCAGTCAGTATAATCCCTACAAATAATTTCTAAAACAAAACCAAAAAAAAAAAAAGAGCACCCAAACATCACCACAAATAAAATAAGAAGAAGTAAAATCAAGTCATCTTGAATTCTATTCAGTATACAGCATCTCATCAACCATGGCCACTGATCACCTACAAAATTTTAATTGGGTCTCCACTCCAGTCATCAGGACATTGCTCATCTCTGCCATAAATCCCAGTTTACAAACCACAATCCATAGCTGAGTTCATATTTTTGCCTAAAAATATGATGTAACTCATATGAAATCAACCAATTTATATGATACAGGTAGTCCTCAAGTTACCACCACAATTGAGCCCCAAACTTCTGTTGTTAAATGAGAGATTTCTTAAGTGAGCTTTGTCACATTTTACAACCTTTCTTGCTACAGTTGTTAAGTGAATCACTGCAGTTGATAAGTTAGTAACACTGTTATTAAGTGAATCTGGCTTCCCCATTGATTTTGCTTGTCAGAAGGACGCAAAAGGTGATCACGTGAATCTGAGACACAGCAACAATCATAAATATGAACCAGTTGCCAAGCATCTTAAGTTTGATCACATGATCATGGGGATGCTGGAAAGGTCATAACTGTGAAAAACGGTCATAAGTCACTTTTTTCAGTGCCGTTGTAACTTTGAACGGTCACTCAACAAACTGTTGTAAGTCAAGGACTGTTCTTGTTAGTTGTAAAGTCGTATCCCCCCCATTGCAACCCATGGACAACATTCCTCCAGGCCTTCCTGTCCTCTACCATTCCCTGGAGTCCATTTAAGCTCACGCCGATTGCTTTGGTGACTCCATCCAGCCACCTCATTCTTGTTATGGCTCCATTGCCTGAGCCTGGGCTATTGACAGATGCAGACTCTGAGAGTGAGGAAGAGGAGTTGGCAAGGCCTCCCTCTCCAGGATCCTCCTCTCTGGCAATACCTCCGGAGGACACTGAAGGCCAAAAGATAGGCTCAGAGCCAAGCACGTCCCCGCAGCCACAGGTGGACAGTGACGAAGGAGATAAGTGCTGGCTGGACCCTTGCCAGAGGCGCAGGGAGAAGCATGCGCAGCAGAGGAGAAGGCGTGCCAGAGATTAGCTGAGTCATTGGACCACACCCCACAGGGTATAAATATGGGTGTGGTAGCCGGTTCAGTTTGTGACGAGCAAAAACTGGAAATACTCCATGATCTCTGTGTTACTGGACTTTGCCTGCTTTATCGGACTGCATTTGGATGAATCCTTGTATTGTTGACACTCTGCCTGTTTTATCGGAATGCTGGCAGTCTAATCTTTGTTTTGTGTGAGTAAAGTCTGAATTGGCAGCTAGTCACTGGGTTGCTGCCAGCTTTATCATCAAAGAGTTTTGTTGTGTGGCTTATTAACTCCGGACCGTCTGTGGGGGTGCGTGAGTGGAACGGGGACAGAACAATTCTCTGTCGTCCCGTTCTTCTTCTGCCCTCAATCTTTCCCAGCATTAGGCTCTTCCCCAGTGAGTCCTTCCTTCTCATTAGGTGGGCAAAATATTTGAGTTTCATCTTCAGGATCTGGCCTTCTATCAGGGTTGATCTTCTCTAGGACTGACCGGTTTGATCGCCTTGCAGTCCAAGGGACTCGCAGGAGTCTTCTCCAGCACCATAGTTCAAAGGCCTACCTGTAGTTAAAAAAATTAAAGAATGAGAGTTTGGATTATTAAACTGCCCCTGTTTCCCTTGCCCTCATTATCTTCTTATAATTCATTTAATAATGCCACAATTACTATTTAGTTTGGCAATGTTGGGTATAACAGTTACAGTGATTTTGATTCAACATGAATTCTTTTTTATGTATGAATATATTTTGCAGTCTGTTGTGAAATTTCCTAGTCAAGCCATATTTTCTTCTACTAGCTGCTTATGGAACAGTAGTTTCTAACTTTTCTGTCTCCAAGGTCCAGCAGCAGCAGCAGCAGTGGCAGTGAGAGAGATTGGAGGGAATGGTTTCACATGTGAAACCTAACTTCCGTGCATGCACAAATGAAGCTTGATTAGCCTGACCACGTGGCTGAGAGGCTAAGACACTAAGCTTGTCAATCACAAAGGTCGGCAGTTGGGTGGTTCAAATCCCTAGTACAGGTCTCAAGCATGAGCAGGGGGTTGGACTAGATGACCTCCAAGATTTCTTCCAACTCTGTTACTGTTACTGAGCTTTGCACATTCATCTGCCACTTACATGGCCTGGTTCCCAATAGGCCACAGACCGGTACCGATCAGTGGCCCAGGGATTAGGGACTCCTGTTACTGAGAATGACCATGTAAAATTGCAATGATAAAAATATATATTTTTAATCTATGGGTAGGAAATGTAGTTTATTTACCATGTTTCCCCAAAAATAAGACCCTGTCTTATATTTTTTTGAACCCTGAAATAAGTGCTTGGCCTTATATTCGGGGATGTCTTGTTACTTTGGGGCGTGTGGAGCAAGATGGGGCTCCTCTTGCCGTCTTACCTGATTTCCAGCTCTGTTACCCTATCCTAACCAGAAGAAATGGTGGGGACTGGTACGCATGCATTTAAATATTTGGGTTTATTTTTGGGTAGGGTTTATTTTGGGGGGGGGGTATTTTAATGCATGCGCTCAAAAGCCCAATTGGGCTTATTATCAGGGGATGACTTATTTTAGGGGAAACAGGGTATTTATTTACTTTATTGATATGTTTTTATAGCCATCCATCTCACATAAGTAACATTGGATAGCAGAAACTGCACCCTATATAGCCCCCTGGCACCCTAGGATAAACAAAACCATCACTCAACAACAACAACAACAAACTACATCAATAACAGCAGATCTTGTCTACTCCCCTGACTCAAATGCCTGGGGAAGTAGTGTTGAGGAATTCACAGAGCAACCCTTGAGTAGCAAGGGTGTGCACATGAAAAGCGATTGAGAGTAGATAGGAAATAACACAGCCAACACAGAGATACCCTGAGTTGTGTTTACTTTCAGGAAATAGTAATAAGGCACAGTCCAATAAACAGCCCAGGTCATTCACATATAGAGCAGTAGATAGTAAAACAATAGTCCAGGGATAATCCAATAACAAAGTCTTCTTACCAGTCGTTGTAGTCATACCTGATTAACAGGTGCAAACAGTAGCAAACACAGCAAAGAGCAGTAAATAGCACACAGCAAACAGCAAAGAGCATCAAAGAGAGACAAACCATGTTTCTAGCTCCCTTTTAAGGAGCTTTGTGATTGAAAAGGCTACAGAGCTAACCAATCAGGACACAGTATGATGCAATACAGCAATACAGCAGTCTTAAAGCTATATTTATGGTTTATATATTGCCAACCCAACAAGTTAGGTAAAATCATTTCCTAACAAGTAGCCGTCTCTTCAATGCCTTGCCAAAGGCTAACAGGGTTAAAACAATCCAAGTGTTTTGGGGGGATGCAGTTCCACAGGGCAATTGCTGTGATTGAAAAGGCACTACTACAGGGTCCAAGAAGATGGTTTGGTTTGACAGAAGGGACCTATAAGTTTTATACATAAGATAGGCTTAGCCAAATTTTAAGAAACAGTGTGTCTGATGCAGCCCTATTCTAGAGTGTCTACTGGTAGTGTCCCTCCTGAAACCAGTGGGTGATCTCACAACAGCTTCATATAGAACTTCATATAAACATGAATGTGAAAAAACAGTCAAACTTGGGTCTGGAAACTTGTAAAAATACCATATCAATGTAATTTCTTCTTGAACTTTGAACTGGACACTATAAGCAGCAAAGTCAAAACTCTTCGATTAAAAAAGAAAATTAAAGAAAACCTGTACTTACAGAGTTAACAATGGTGCCACCTATGCAGGGGTGGGTTCTACTTATCTTTACTACTGGTTTGCAATGGGAGCATGTGCGCTTCTGCGCATGTGCAGAAGTTTCTGCACATGCTCAGGTCACCCATGATGATGTTGGGGCAGGTGGGCGGAGCCTCCCACCGGTTTTACTACTGGTTCTATAGAACCGGACCGAACCGGGAGCAACCCACCACTGCACCTATTTTCTTACTGCTTGAGAAGTCTTACTGTATGCATGCTAACGTTTGCATACTAAACTTCCAAGTGCAGAGATGCTTAGCTAAGGCGGAAGAGGCCAAAGAAAAGTCTCATATTCCGACTCTAATTCATATAGCGGGTACTATTGTTTTCCTGTCTGTCAAGATTAGCACTTTCTAGTTTTCTAAGATATGGGAATGATTACTGACAAATCTCAACCTTTCTCCTTTAGTACAAGGAAAATGAAGAGGAGTTTACAATTACTGAGAAATTATTGGTTGGCTGGCTTCCTTCAACATAGACAAGATATGATTACATTGATTCAGTTCCTTTAGCAGCAACTTTGATAGTTTTTTTCCATCTACATTCCGGCATTTGAAATGGATGCTTTCATTTTCTGTTGACTAAAGTTCATCTCATTATTATACATTCATGTCAACGGTAACTTAAAAAGCACATACGTTAGCAAAACAAGTTTTTCACCCTTCCTCTCTCCCTTGTGCTTATTTTCTCCAACTACCAAAGTAGTAATTTTCCTGGTAAAAATTAGAGACTTTTTTCAAGGATGGGAGAAATGATAATGTAGCCAGAGAACACAATACGCAACATAAGATTTATTGGCAAGTGCTATAGAGCTTTTGCATAAATTATGCACATTCATGACAGGCAGACTGCATCTATAGAATATACGTAACTTTCATTTCTTTCTAATGCCAAAGATAGAACTGAAGAATAAACTATGCTTGGTTTGCTCTGAAGATTATATATTTTTCTTAAAATCAAGAAAAGTTGGATACTTAATGAAGCTTTTTTTTTAACAATACAAAACATTCAAATGAAGCTGTCTGGAAAAGAGGAGAAATTAATTGCTTCCATGTTCTCTTCTTGTTACTACTTTCATTTTCTGATCTCTGATCATCTCCACACAACTTGGAAGGAAGGGCTGCTTAGTGTTATATTGTTCATTTACCCATCAGAAGGAAGTAATAGTTTTCAACTAGTTATACTAATACTAAGGTCAGAACTTTCTTAGCGACAAAATCCAAGGATAATTTGAGTAACCCTTCACTATTCAATACTTCAACTTTTCCCAATCATGCCAAAATTGTATTACCAAATAGAAAGATTGTACCATTAGCAAGCAGAAGGGTTAATGGACTTGTAGCTGCAATTACAGGCCAAGATTATTATTAATAACAAATTTTATCTTCAAAATTCACAAGAACATTCTGAATCAGAAGGCAAGAGGTCCCACAAATAAAGGATGCCATGAACAGGATTAAATACAAGAGTGCATGATATATTTCATACACAGAGTATCTTGATAGGATTGTCCCACCACAGATAACACAAATAAATTATACAATGCTTGTATTAAATAGTGCCTTCACATTTAATGGATTATGCTCCTCACCCCCACCCTGCCTCAAACCATTCTTTGTGAGTTTAAGTAAATTAATAATTTCCTATATCTGCAATTACAGCTAGATATTTCCTAAACATGTCAAGGAACATACATTTTCTGGGAACATGCCATATTTCTGAGAAAAGTTCCCTAGTTCCAAGTTTGTTTGTTTGTTTGTTTGTTTGTTTGTTTGTTTGTTTGTTTGTTTGTTTGTTTAGCACATGGCATATCATACATAGACTAGCAATATAAGTTAAGTTTCAACTAGATTAGTAGATTCCAATAAAATATAAATGTCACAAAGATCTATGTTCAAATATTAGTGTCTAGGCCATCTAACCATTGAAGCACAGCATTATTTATATTTAAAAAATCAGATATTGGGCCAGTATATGCCCTTAGCTTACAGTCAGTCACAATGTGATCTACAGTTTGACATAGTATACCCCGCAGTCACACTGAGGTGAGGATACTATGCCCCATTTATACAGAGAGTCCCGATAGATGCCATGTGAGGTACGAATCCTATTCAGGATTGTTCATTGCTGATGTGGTAGTTCAAAGCCTGGCACCTTTTTTGTAGGGTCATTTGGAAATTTGGATAAATATGGAAATTTGGAACATATATGAACTCATTATACTTGCAGGATGAATTTGCTTGTTAATGCCATGCACACCTGAGAAGAATTCTTATAGGAAAACAACTGCGAAGACAGGATCTCAGCAAACCAGTGGGCTTACAGCTGGGAAACATGGAAATAATTGAATTGATCAATGCTACTAAAAACAAAACAGTGAATGATGCAATATTACTGTTTTACTGTGCTAGGCAATGAAAGAGGAAGAAACAAGATGGAATGAGCAACTGAGAGCATTTTGCAGCATGAGGCATTCCGCTTGCATTTCAGACAACAATATCTAGGCCCTCTGGGGAATGTCCTTACTGCAGCATTTTAAAAACTTGTGCTTAATAGCTGAATGTTGCCAGCAACTATTGTTCTTTGCTCAGTCACACATAAAGCCTACAGTATTTGATTCTGTCCTTGTATAGCTGGATTAGCTCACTACTTTGGCATAATGAATTGACTTGACCTGCAGTTAATTCTCCTTTGCTCATAAATTGTTTATTGTTGCTCCTAACTATAAATAGGAGAGGCTACAAATATTCATCTCTTTGAAAGTTTGCTGCACTATCACAGACTCTAAAGCAGGG